CAAGTAGAGTTCCACAGTCTAGCCTTGGCTTTCAGCCGGCTAAACAAGCAGTTAGCTCAAGTAGTAGAGAAAGAAGAGAGAGTTTGAGTGTGTGTGTGTGTATGTGTGTGTGTGTGTGTGTGTGTGTTTTGAACTAATTGTTCGTGTCCTATGCTAAAGAGAGGGTAGAGTATTTATAGTTTTAGAACAGGCAGGAAAATAAGGTAATAAGTACTGACTTAGCATAATTATAGAAATAATACAAATCAGAATCAATTAAAGATCCGGACTCTCTTCAATTAGGGAGTCATAGTTCAAACGGGCACAAGTTGTATCAAGCAGGGAAAAGAACTGATTTTACCATAATAGGAGTAGTAAAAGCATACAACATGTAATAAGGACTAAGTATGGAATATTTTCAAGTAAGGAAAGTATATTAACATCATATTGGACCTCTAAATAAGGTAAAGCACAATTTCAATTTTGAAAGTCAGTTCAAATAATCACGGATGAGATGGAAAATCACAGGGAATCAACACTAACTAAGGAAAGTGTCACAAAAAATAAGGAAGCAATTTCGAAAGATCAGCACCAAATTACAAGGAAAATACACAAAATCACAGATGTAGGTTTAAGGAGATTACACAAAATCAACATAAATTATGTGATCAATCAATAAAACAAATAGTTGGACCTATTAAACGATAAATAACACGTGTTTGGACAAAATCAAAGAAACCTTAAAAACAAATTAGAGCATGAAGCACAAGAGCATATAGAACACACATGAAACCTAGAATGTTCATGATAGTCATGCAAACACGTTGCAAACAGACTCAAATAAGTATTAAGGTTTCTTAACAAAAAAATGAATTGAGCAAAAAGGAAAGACTCGGGTGATGTTTAAACATGCTAAAATCAAAGTAATTGCTAAAATCAGAAAGAAATCATTTTTGCAAAATGGGTTTTGAAACCCTAGTATGGAAAATGAAGAAATCGTTTGAAATCGGAGAAATATTTTGAGGAAAACAAGTGAAAACCATAAAACCCATAGATCCATCACAGATCTAAAAAGATCGGAGGATTTATAGCTAGGTTTTTCAGAAAATAGCAGAGACGAAGAAAAAATCAGTTAAAAACTCATTGATACACCTAGATCTAAGACATATATAAAGAAAAGTGGAAAATCTCAAAGGTTAGGGTTTCAGAGAACCCAAAGAAGATGAGAGGACTTTAAGATGTTACCAGTTTCGGCCGGAAAAGTCATGGATCTGACTCCAACAGCCATGGATGGCTGGAAAATGGCATAAAAGACCATGGATAGGAGTTGAACAAGATCTGGACTAGATCTCTTTGAGATCTTCCAAGAAATCCCAAAAACGAGCAACCAAGAGATGTAGGAGACGAGTATAAGTCTCAAACAGTCATGGGAATCCATGGATCGAGTGAGGATCGAAGGGATTAGGGCTAGTTTTGGGTGACGACGGCTAGGGTTAGGTTTAGGTCTCATAGAGGATTGGAGAGGAAAGGGATTCAAAGGCGGCTCAAATGAAAAATGGGGTAGGGTTTTGGGGGGTCGTTGGGTTAAAAAGGTAAGAAACAATGTGGACCGTTGATCTGGGAGATCAACGGTCGAGATTAGAGAGGGTAGGTGAGGTTCCGGGTTTGGGAATGGGTAAAAAGGGTGTGGATCGAGTTTTAATTGTGAAATTGGGCTGGGATTAGGGTTTGATTTGGGCTACAATTGAAAGCCAATCTGGCTATATTTTAAAAAACTACTTTTTCCCTATTTAATTTATAAAAATAGTAAATAGTTTCTGAAAAATAATTTAAAGTGTTAAAATGATTTATAACACATAATTAGAAATTTAAAAATATATGATCCAATTTTATGCGTATAAAACATAATTAAATCTTAAAAGGGCTAATATTGCAATTATGTGCAATTTAGCTTTAAAAATACCAAATGTAATTATAAAATATGTAAAAATTACTTTAGCCAAATTTTGGCATAAATATAGAAATACAATAGATGCATTATCAAAACAATAATTTTGTAAATAATTATTGGGGATTTTATGGATAAAAGGGAGAAAATAAATCAATTTAAACCTTTAAAATTATGGAAAAATAATAATTCCTTTGGACATTCCTATATATGCATATATATGCTATTTTGAAGGTATTTTTCATATTAAAAATATATAGGAAAAAATTGGGTATCAACAAGTTCGTATAATATTTTAGGACTTGTTAGTATATTTGGACGGGGTCCCAGGAGCCTCGAGTGTGATTCGGGTGAATTCAGACTCATTTTGGACCTGAAGCAATTACTGAATGGAGCTGGTTTCTGATGTGACCGCATTTGTGGTTGTTTTGGCCGCAGATGCAACGTTATAGGTGCAGTTAAAGAGGCGCAGAATCGAAGAAGGCTGGGGGCCTCGGGTGTGATTCGGGTTGAATTCAGACTCATTTTGGACTTGAAGCAATTGCTGAAGGGAGTTGGTTTCTGATGTGATCGCATCTGCTGTTGGCTTGTCCGTAGATGCAGCGTCGTAGGTGCGGTTAAAGAGTTGCATAATCGAAGAAGGTTGGGCAGGGTTGTGTCCGCAGATGCGGATGAGGAGCTGCTGAAGCGGGTTGCAAATGCGGCATTTGGGTCGCAGGAGCAAAGGTGAGGCTGGAGGAGGTTGTCCGCAGAAGTGGAAGATTTTGTGCAGAAGCTCTATCTCAAATGCGACATTTTTCCGCAAAAGTAAAATTCCGGATTTTGGAGGGAGCCGCATATGCGGCCAAAATTCCACAGAAGCAGAACCGCAGGTCCAGTTAAGCAGCCGTAAGTGCGAATTCACTAACAATGTTATATTTCAAAGGGTTTCATTGTTTTTCTCATTTTGAGAGATTTGGAATTCGGCTAAGGACGAGTTTTGAGAGGGTTTTTACTTCAGTTGAAGATGTATGTGAACTTTATTCAATTTTGATGATAGATATTGATTACCCATTAATTATTATACCTAGTTTATGTGTGTTTGAGGTAAAATTCGAGGATTTTAGATCATGGTATTGGAGAATGAGATTTGGTGATTTGAGGGTCAGTTTGTGGATGGAATTGGATAAAATTAGTATAGTTGGAATGGTAATTGAATGGCATTCAAAATTTATGAATTTTGTCGGGTTCCGGGGTACGAGCTTGGGATTAACTTTGTATATTTGATTCAAGACTTTAGCTTTATCATTTGGAATTATTTTCTCTGGCTATTATTGATGATATTAAGCTATTTTGGTTAGATTCGAGCTGTCTGGAGTTTGATATACGCGGCAAGGGTTTGTTAGAGAAGTGATTTGGCTTGCTTGAGGTAAGTATCTTACCTAAATTTGGTTGAGGCACTAGTTTTTGCCATCTCCGCTACTTGGGTCTGAAAAATCCCTTCGATCTGATTGGCAATAAACTGAGAGTGCTAGCTTCAGATCCGATCTCAGCCTCGTACTTAGCTTCAGCGTTAGTTGAATCTGGGAACCTTGTGGACTGATGACTTACTTCACCTGTTGGGATCTTCGAGTTTAAGTCCCAATCCGATCCAGTCCCGAGTGCGTGAAGATACGAAACATAAGCCACATCATAAGCACACAGGTGGGAACAAGTTTTGTCATTTCAAGGAATTACACAACAAGTTATTATTCCTCTCTGAGAGGAAGAGGGATGTATGCACAAGGTATAGATTGGTATCTAGCACTAACATGGTAACAGGATTGTGGACGTTCTAAATATGTGACGGCCATAGTCTATTCCGACAACTTGCATTCGCAACGTGCCGAAACTATAACTACGTCGAAGCGTAGTTTTTGTATAGATATCAGATAGAATTTCGATTTTATGCAAGGGTCTAGATTAAAAATTGGTTTGGCTATTTCAATATCTTGCCTACGAATTTCTCAAATTTATGTTCGTAGCTAAAGGATGAAGTTACAACGGATGGGAAGTAGAAGTAGAACCGAGTTTAGATCTTGAGGAAACTAAAACTTTGGCTAGGAAATCCCTACAGACGGCGTCAAATTGTTTGACCAAAGAGTTTTAGGCCCTTTTTGTTTAACGAATTTAATAAGAAGATAGAGGGTAAATCTTAGCCAAAGACAATCACTTCTAGATCAGGAATTCCAAACAGGTATAAACCATTATAGTTGAGCGTGAGAGGCCAATATAGTCCCGCTTGTACTCCACAATATAATGAAAGATGGCAATTTGCATAGTATCAAATAAAAAAGAGAAATAGCAACAGAAACGATTCACCCGACTGTGAGCTAGACAGATCTGTATTTTCTTGAGAAGGTTGAATGACAGATGCGATGGATCTGAGGTCATAGACCATCTTTCCTCTCCGAAAGGTATGTTCTACTTGGATCTTTGGACTGCCCTCCCCNATCTTTTGAATATCCTATAGAATAATCCTTTAAAATGGCTAAGTGTCGAACTAGCCATATCAGCCTCATGAGTGCTCGACTTCAGCCATAGTCGGACTGCTTGCCAGTGTGTTGCTTCCTAAACATGACTTCGGCTTGGCCGACTCCGGGTTGTTCTCCCTTAAGTTGACTTCTTTTGTTCAGATTTTGACCCATGAACTACTCATGAAATATAAAAATATGATTCCTTTTAAAAAAAAGAATTAGAATAAAAATAAAGATAAAACACTAAAAATAAATTAATTGTTTAGACAAAATCTAAGGTTCACCTCAATTAGTAAGTATCTAGCACAAGCGTACAGATTAGTTGAACGAAGAAAAAGATCGAAATGTTCATGAAAGGAGGACAACTTAGTTTTTTCTACTAGAAAGAATATTTTGACTAATTAATTTCGTTCACACTGGCATGCTTTAATTTTATTATTAAATAATCTTTCTTGGAAAAGAAGTATATGCAATATTCAAGCAAAATTTTCACATCCTAAGACCTACGCAACCAATGACATCTAAGCAAATATATCCCTATAAATAGTACTACTAATGTTCAATGACATTCATTCATAAGCCAACTGATCATTTTATTCATTACTTAGCCTACATATTGATCTCAAACAAACAAAAAAATGGAGAGCAACAACGTGGTTCTGCTAGATTTCTGGCCAAGTTCTTTTGGTATGAGGATAAGAATTGCATTGGCCTTAAAGGGAATCAAATATGAAGCAAAGGAGGAAAACTTATCTGATAAAAGCCCTTTGCTTCTGGAGATGAACCCTGTTCACAAAAAGATCCCTATTTTGATTCACAATAGTAAAGCCATTTGTGAGTCTCTAAACATTCTTGAGTACATTGATGAAGTCTGGCATGACAATTGTCCATTACTTCCTTCTGATCCTTATGGAAGGTCACAAGCCAGATTCTGGGCCGACTATATTGACAAGAAGGTAATAAACATCTCACAAAGATGAGTTATTTAGGCCATATAAACTTATGGACATCTTGTTCAAATTAACAGGTAGATTTTTTCTTTATATATGAGTTATTAAATCCCTTTGTTGGTTTAATGCAGATATATAGCACAGGAAGAAGAGTGTGGAGCGGTAAAGGTCAAGATCAAGAAGAAGCAAAGAAGGAATTCATAGAAATCTTCAAGACTTTGGAAGGAGAGCTTGGAAATAAAACTTACTTTGGTGGTGATAATTTGGGTTTTGTGGATGTGGCTTTGGTTCCCTTTACTAGTTGGTTTTATTCTTATGAGACTTGTGCAAATTTTAGTATAGAAGCAGAGTGTCCAAAGCTGGTGGTATGGGCAAAAAGATGTATGGAGAACGAGAGTGTATCAAAGTCCCTTCCTCATCCTCACAAGATCTATGATTTTGTCTTGGAACTCAAGCACAAGCTTGGTCTTGCTTGAACAACAAACACTTCTTACTTACTGCAGAAAGCAATCATGTCCTTCGAATAAAATCACTCTCTAGTTGTTCAAGTATCAATTTATCAATATTGTTGCTACTCTGTCTGTAACTTTGTGTAATTCAGTCTTTAAAATTTTACTTGTTGCTACTCTATATATAAGGTTTATGTTTGGCGTAGTTCAGTCTCTATAACTTTATTTCCTTGAGCACTTCTTTGAACTAAGGTGGATTTAAATTAGTGAAGCCACATGTCTAGTGAGAATTTATATAGTCGAGCACAACTTGCTTGGGATTGAGATGTAGAGTTCGTTCACCAAGCTATCAAAAACTATGTATTTTGAAAAAGTGCTCTAGGAAATTAGCGGTTTATATTTGGCCAATTCATTTAAGAAGTGCTTTTTACACTTTTGATAAGCAAATTGTAGTTGGTCAATCTTTTCAAAAAGTACTTTTAAGGGTCTAATTATGAAAAAGGATAATAAAGGTATATTTGATAATTGAATTATGTATCATAATCGGTACCCAGTTAGTATCAAGTTTAACCTCGAAGAAGTAGTAGCGAGGCTATAGGCATCAAAATACTTACAACAAGGATATAAATAACAGAGCTTAAAACTGAAACAGTAAATAATCTCATGAATAACCAGAATCAAAGATATCAACAATCGAAAAGTAGAAAGAATACTTTTCCAAGTCAAGAAAAAATCACAAATGTTGCTCAGATATAACATTTAAAGAACACATGCTACAATCAACAGAGTCGAGACTCTAGACTAGCATATATAGATGGCATGTAATAATTAGCATCTAAATGAATGCTCCTAAATGATTCAAGAATATCTATATAGGTGCAGTCTAGGCAGAAGAGTTACGCCGATTGGAAGGTTTGTGATGTTGCTTACATGGTGGGAGAGAAGGTACTGCTCAGGGTTTCACCCATGAAGGTGTCACGACCCAAAACTCAGACCTGGTCGTGATGACGCCTCTCGTGAAGACAAGGCTAGCCGACACACTCCCAATTCATTTTAAGCAATTAAAATAATACAGTTCAAGTCTCCAACATAATAATAATCCCCAAAATAAGGTGAATAATACAGTCGCGGAATAGACATAGCCCGACATCGGAGTGTCACCAGTCATGAGCATCTGTTATAAAACTACAAGTCTGAAAGAGTCTACACCAGCTATTACATAGCTAAAATAGGAGAAGATAAGATAGAGGGAGAAGCACTAGGCTGCAAATGTCGAGCAGCTACATAGTGAATCTCCGAAGTCTGCTGAAAGCTCTCAACCCTCGCAAGCAGGACCTGAAGCGCCTGAATCTGCACACGGGGTGCAGAGATTAAAGTGAGTACTCCAACTTAGTGAGTAATAATGATAAATGCAGACTGAGTAATAAGAAATCACATAAAGGCACATCAACAGACTATAAAGAAACAGTAAAAGCCAGTAAAAGCAGTGAAACAGTAAAAATATGTAAAGTCACTTTAGTTCAGTTTAAACTTCTTTGGAATGACCTTTTTGACAGTTAAGAAAGTAAATGACAGGCAACTAGGAAAGATACACACATAAAGAACCGTCCCTCGAGCACAATATCAACAAAATCCGCCCTCGGGCAGTATCATGGAACAACACCAGCCCCTCGGGCTATATCTCACATTACAATGGGTACCCGCGCTCATTGGGGGTGTGCAGACTCCTGGAGGATCCCCTTACGGCGCAAGCGCAATATCAAGTCATCTCGTGGCATAATCACTAGGCTCTCGGCCTCATATCAACAAGCCATCTCGTGACGTACAAATCTCAGGCCCTCAGCCTTATAATCATAGATCAGTTTATCACTGCTGCGACGTGCATCCCGACCCCAAAAGTATCCTCACAACACAGGCCCTCGGCCTTACTCAGTCAGAATCTTATAAGCCACTCGGGCAACAGTAAAACATGATGCTCAGCCAAAATATCATTTAAAATATCTTTACTGCGTTAAAACAGAGTAAACATGGCTGAGTTATGAAAATAGTAGATTATAGCATGGCTGAGTACAGATATAAAGTCAAAACAGTGAGGAAATATCAGTAAAGATCCCCTAAGGATCCAAATAGTTGGCACGAGGCCCAAATATAGCATTTAGCCTCAAACATGATGATAGCAAATAGTTTTCAATCAAATACACGGTAAAACAGTCATACGGGATGGACTAAGTCACAATCCCTAATGGTGCATGATCCCATGCTCGTCATCTAGCGTGTGAGTCACCTCAATATAGCACCACGATGTGCAATCTGGGGTTTCATACCCTCAGGACAATATTTACAATCATTACTCACCGCGATCCGGTCCAAACTCTAGCCGGCGATGCCTTTGACCTCTCGAATCGACCTCTGGATGCTCCAAATCTAACCAAAATCAGTACATGACCATTAAAATATGCTAAGGGAACAAAGCACATTCGAAAATATCCAATTTACATCAAAAATCCCGAAGTTGCTCAAACACGGCCCCCGGGCCCATGCCTCGGAATCCGATAAAAATCATAACAATAAAATCCTCATCCACTCACGAGTCTACCCATATTAAATTCATCAAAATCCGACCTCAATTGCCCATTCAAATCCCTAAAAGAATTCTCAAACTTTTCTTGCATTTGGCCCCAATTTTCACTCTAATTTCTTAAATTAAATGATGAAATTCAAGATTAAATCATGGAAATAAACCAAATATGAGTGAAGAATACTTACCCCAATAGCTCCACTGAAAATCCCCTCAAATTTCACCTTCTCCCGAGCTCTCCAATGGCTTTTATGATATTGGACTCAAACCCTTGATTTTAAGATATAAACTGTCTGCCTATATATTTCTTCATCGCGAACGCGGCATATCCCTCGCGTTCGCGAAGCACACAGCTTCACTGACCGGAAATCCTTCTACACGAACGCGAGAAACCTCTCGCGAACGCAATGCACAGCTGACTCAACACTTTGCGAATGTGACCTCTACTACGTGAACACATAGAACAATTGCCTTGGGGACTAGCTACTCCTCTTCCTTTATGCGAACGCGACATAAGCCTCGCGAACGCGGAGAATCACAGCATCACAACATTGCGAACGCGACACACAAAACGTGAACGCGAAGACAAAATTCGCCACCTCAGAGAATACCCTTCGCGAACGTGAGTCCCTGACCGCGAACGCGAAGAACAAATCGTCTGCAACAAAAACCAGGAAAAATTGCCAAGTCTAAAGTCCAAAATTATTTTACCATCTGAAACTCACCCGAGGCCCTCGGGACCTCAACCAAACATGCCAACATATCCCATAACATCGTTCAAACCTGTTCCAACCTTCGGAACGCTCAAAACAATATCAAAACACCAAAACTACATCGGATTCAAGCCTAAGAATTCCAAGAACTTTCAAATTCCGCTTTCGATCAAAAGTCTACCAAACCTCGTCCAAATGACCTGAAATGTTGCACACATGTCACAAATGACACAACGGACCTACTCTAATTTCCAAAATTTCATTCCGAGCCCTATATCAAAATCTCACTTATCAACCAGAAAACGCCAATATCTCAATTTCGCCAATTCAAGCCTAAACCTTCCGACCTCCAAAACATATTCCGACCATGCTCCTAAGTCCTAAATCACCTAACTGAGCTAATCAAATCATAAAAATTCCAATCTGAGGTCATCTACTAACAAGTCAAATCTTGGTCAAACCTTTCAAATTTTAAGCTTCAAACTGTGGACTGTTCTTCCAAATTCATTCTGATTATCCAAAATCAAAACCGACGATTTACATAAGTCATAATACATCACACAAGGCTAGCCATGCCTGAGAACTGGCAAGCAAAGTGCAAAAGCTCAAAACGACCGGTCGGGTCGTTACATCCTCCTCCACTTAAACATACGTTCGTCCTCAAATGTGCCCAGAGTTGTTCCAAAACCCAACCAATCGATGAATAACCTTACCATGCACGTACCCGGGGGAGATCCCACATCACCCTATCTTATATAGGTCTGATAACACAATGTAACTGAAATTTCACAATTCAACCTAGCCCATAAGCCTTAGAACCACATTTCCACTTCTGAAATCATCCACAAGATCAAAATCTCACATCTACACTCTGAATAAGCCTGAATAAGCTATAATAACCCATACATGCAACCTCAGCTGCAATTACATGATATACCACATAACTCAAACACTTGTAATGATAGCTTCTACTCACAACAATTGCTTAAAACATCCGAATTTTGATAATAAGCCTTTTATCACATAAAGCCTTATTCCAACACTTCCGCATACTGCCAATGATAAATGAAACACATAGGAAGTCATAACCACTCCTCAAATCAACCATTCGTGAAACCAAAGGACTATAGTAAATTTCTGAGCCGAACATCGATATTATCCCTCCAACGCGCTGAAACTGAATCTGTTTGTATTCATTCTAGATCCCAACAATCTCATCTAATACCAACACAACTACTCCGGTGACATAACACATCAATACAATCTAAAGCCACAACTCGTGCAATCTGTGCACTAATAAGAAACAATCTGAACGTACTCACATCGTGAGAACGACTCAAATGAGAGAGTTGTACCGCAAGCTCACCAGTACCACCACACACAATGCTGAGAACCCGTCACACATCGTAGAACCAGAACACATGAATCTAACCCGAAGGGTCATACCTCCACATAACTTCGCTGCAATACGCGACCCTATCCACACACTGGTCCACATGATACACATCCAGTCGCTATGCTCAAACCAACAACCATGCGCAATTAGATGTCTAGAACCAAAGCAAATCATCATAACCACTACGAAGAAATTGACATAACCTTACACAAACCCGAAAGGACACAACCGATATGCCATCCGCCAAGCAATACCCAATACTCTTCCCGCTCGAATTCCACTGAGAGACCCCAAATAAAACCGCACCATATGTGCCTATAACCAACAATTCCCAATGCCTCACAACACGTAAAAGTAACTCATAGATCTCCCCAGGTCAATAATAAGCTCAATAAGAATTGAATCAACACATCCTTGAACAATAGAACTTGGAGTCAACCAAGCCGACTCGATGCCGAACACACATCCATATAGGTCTACCAATGAACCCCTTATCAAGGAGTCCCTGAAGCCGCCCT